GGTTCCCGCTCACTGGCTGAGCGAGGCACGGGGGCAACACCAAGGGTTGCGATCCCGTTGCCGGTCCCGGTCCGGTACGGGGGCGACACTGAGGGTTGCGATCCGTTGCCGGACATGGAAAAAAAAGACAAAAAAAAAAAAAAAAAAAAGTATCACCCACAATATTACTCTAAACATAACTATTTTCATTTTACCTTGTTCTCCAAGTTTTATCAAATATATATATTTTCCACAGCTATAATCTTAAGCAAAATAAAATTGCATTCTTAATCTTTTTGTCTTTTGCAAACATTTTCTGTGCTTTTTTGTGTTCTTCATAACTGTCTGTGTCAATGTATTCCATCTACTCCATCACAGGGATGTATCATAATTAACATTTTCTTTTGTTTGGACATTTAGATTGACTCAGTATTTTTCTGTTGCCATAGACGTTTATCTTCCAGCCTGGACTTTTTTCCCCTTTACTGAATGAACTAGTATTTTGAGCTCACCTGAAAATTAATAGGTGGTGGCGGATTCTTAGGTTCTATTCTTACAACACTGGATTCTACCTTGGGTGGTGGTCTGAAGTTATTCTTTCCGACCTGTTAATCAGAAAATGTTTAAGTAGTTCTCTCAAAGGCAATTTTTAGTAATCACAGATGCTCTCCTCGCAGCAGGCACAGCTAGTAAGCTAGAATATTTCAATAATAAAAATCGCTTACTTTCATTAGATGGTCCACACGTGCTAACAGCTGTGTATTAATTGAGAGTCTGCAGTATAACTTATCTCCAGGTTTTGCAACCAGTCGGAGAGCAAATTCTCTTTGAAACATAAGTATAGCACATCTGAAAAGAAATCAGAAAGGAATAAGGAAAATGGTCACTTTCAACTATATATGTATTTTAGCTACAGTGAATTTTCTTGGGAGAGAAATACAGCAGCACAGTATCTGTGGTTAATGAGAATTAGTGTACCTGGTTAGAAGGTAGAACACTTTAGGGCTGACCCGTGGCTCACTCAGGAGAGTGCAGTGCTGATAACACCAAGGCCGCGGGTTTGGATCCCATATAGGGATGGCCAATTAGCTCATTGGCTGAGCGTGGTGCTGACAACACAAGTCAAGGGTTAAGATCCCCTTACTGGTCATCTAAAAAAAAAAAAAATAGAAGGTAGAACACTTTCAGCCTTAGGTTTATCACCACAAAATGAGACAGCTGGCTTTGTTTTTGTTTTGTAATAGCTATACCCCTCTAACCCCAAGGAAGATGGCTTACAAATTAAAGCCATCAGTGGTCAGACGATAAAGTATTTAAAATCAGCACTAGTCCATCACCTCTTCTATGAAAACAAAAACAAAACAAATAAAATTGACTCAGAGATAGAATTACATTTACGAGGTAGCAAACACCTTTAAGGAAGAAGTGAGGCTCGAGAGACAGGTTGTGATATTCAGTGCCCCTTTGATTTAACAAGTTAAATAATGTGGACTTTTTATTCAGCAAGCAATGGGGATGCTTTTTGGAGGCTACCAAACAGGAGAAGAGCATCTTCAAAGCTACACTTCAGCTTTCAAACATGGACAGTGAGTCACATTAAGAAATACATTTGGGGGCCGGCCCGGTGGCGCACTGGATAGTGCGCCGCTTGGGAAGCGTGGCGGCGCTCCCGCCCGAGGGTTCGGATCCCACATACAGACCGGTTCCCGCTCACTGGCTGAGCGAGGCGCGGGAGCAACACCGAGGGTTGCGATCCCGTTGCCGGTCCTGGTCCGGTACGGGGGCAACACTGAGGGTTGCGATCCGTTGCCGGACACGGAAAAAAAAAAAAAAAAAAAAAGAAATACATTTGACATTGCAACTCAGGCCACAAATATCTGAATATATATATGTTTATATACCTCAGACAAAAGTTTCATGAAACTAATCACCTGGACCACATGCAATGCCCTCTGAAATATTCTACTGAAAAGGATGGTCATGACTCACTAAATTTATAATCACTAAGGGGTTTCTGACTTGCAGTTTGAAAGCCACTGGTATAGACTGTACTAGAGAACAGTTAGGAAGCCACTGCAATTGTCTAAACATGAAGTAATAAAAAGTCTGACCTAGGCTAATGGCACAAGAATTAGAAAATAGGGAAAGGCTGTCTGGTCTCAGAAGCAGGACTTACACCATACCTCCCCCAAACAACTTTTGTCAGCTGAAAGAGAGAGAATGCTCTCCATACAAATCGAACTTTTATACAAAAATGCTCCAGAAGTTTTTCAATTGACTTGACTTTCATTTTCAGCTGTCTGTGTTCAAGGCCTAAACTGTCAGTCTTTCTAAAATTTGGCAGTAACTGCTCTTATTGTCACAAACCTGAATAAAGGTCGGTGCAACAGCAGCTTGAAAACAAAAGGAGACGAGATCTGTAAGAGAATAAACAAGTTATTTCCAAGAAAGACACATCAGAGAAACACTATGATGATCCTGACAATTTGAGGACGTACCTGATAAGGCAAATTTGCCACACAAGCATCAAAGAATGGCAAATCTGTTTTCAACACATCACCCACCATTACTTGAAGTTTGCTGGCCAGAGGCCTGACAATAAGAAAAAAAATTTAAAAAGAATATTTCATGATATTGAAATGCAGTTTAATTCTATTACATATACTCACGTGCCCTGAACTCTTTTGTGAAGTTCAGCTACTAGCCTTGGGTCAAGTTCACAGGCAACTACCTAAATTTTAATAAAAAAAGTGTCTTTAGGTTAATTACGGAGTATAAATCTTTTCTTGTTATCCCGATCGTTATCCAGATCCATTCTCTACTTTTCTCTGTGCCCTGTACAGGCAACTACCTAAATTTTAATAAAAAAAGTGTCTTTAGGTTAATTACGGAGTATAAATCCTTTCTTGTTATCCCGATCGTTATCCAGATCCATTCTCTACTTTTCTCTGTGCCCTGAAGGTAGTGCAGTCTAGCTCTCCTATCCTTTGACTTCTGATTGGGATTGGCCAGTGAAAGGTGCCAACATTATAGGTGCAAGGGTAGAGGTAGGATATTTATTTCCTAATGCCTGCCCCATGCCTTGCAGAAATTTTGGCAGTGGCTGTATTCTGCTATAAGTGGTCCCTCTTCAATGGCTCCCACTCTCACTGGGCTCTGCTAACAGTTCCCTCCCCTTTCCCTGTGGCTTTTGAATGGTAACTGCAAATTACCATTCTTGCTACAGCTAGTCCCTAGTATTTTACTAATACTTACTGGTTCTTTTAACCCTATTTCCACACATCTGTAAACAGTCTTTTCATTAAACTCTATTCAGATAAGCCTTTTAAAATTTGCGGCCTGCTTCCACCAGTGACACAACAATGGTTCCATTTAATTGGAAGCTGGGTCAGTCAAGACACAAAGAAGGTACCAGCAGTGGCCAGGTGATGCTCCAATCGCAGAGGCCTGAGCTTTAGCTCTGCAGGTCTCCTCCTCCAAAGTTCTCGGTTCTAATAACTCCAACCTCTGCTTTGTTCCTCCAGGCCTTACATGGTAACTGCTCTTTGTAATTATTAATTTTGGCTTATCTCAGTGTTCCTATTTTGTTCTTTTAGTACTCTAACAAACATATAACCAATTCCCTATATTAAATTCCCTGTTGAAATAGCTAATGCAGTTTCTGTTTTCCCACTGACGTTTCTCATATTTTCTAAGATAAAGTTGCTAGCAAGGGCTCAAGTTACTATTAAAATAACAGCAATTAATTAAGACAGATTTATATTTGTAAACCAGCTGAGCTTGCTCATACAGTCACTTCTGATACCAAAACATTAAGTCCCCTTTTTACCTTTTTTGCCTTTTCTAACAGCTTTACAGTCATGTTGCCAGTTCCAGGTCCAACTTCTAGCACCACATCTGTTGGTCTTAAGGCAGCCTAAAAGCAAGCACAACCACTTTTGATCTTCTAGCACATCTGAACACATAATTTAATTTACACATGAACATCATTGCCCCAAAGTGCTCGGTTGAGAGATCTTACTCAACTGCATTTTAGATCACTTCATGATTTATGTGATTAACAAAAGTACCTCAATAACATTAGGTGCAAATGGAGCTGGCTGGTTACCTTAGCTGGTTAAAGCATAGCTTTATAACCCCAAGGTCACTTACTGGCCAATCACCAACAATAGAAAGTTAGGTGCAAATGAAAATCTAAGACCTCCCCTAACTTGGGAGAATACTCCTCAACCTTAGGAGTCAAAAAGTCAGAAGAGTAGTACTTTCAGGGATTGGCATTCTGCTTTCTACCTTGGAAATGATTCCAATAACCTCTTGTTATCAAATTGTAGACAAAACTGGGTGTGTGTACACACATAACTACAATATTCTAGGTCTACAGCTTTCATCAGATGCTCAAAGGAATACATGAGCTAAAAAGGTTAAAAAGGTAGGCCAACACTTATTTTGCAAATGACACTAAGTCCGTACGATCCTTTAACTAAGTAATGCTCTTTCTACAGCTCCAGGATGCTTCCCTTGTAACCCTAAATTAATTTGCATCACCTATATTTCCTAGCACCCAATAACCCAGATAGGAGTAATACCCCAAATAATATGACACTGGAATACACCAAATAATTTATATGTGGTACCACATAAGTTTTTCTGGAAAACGAACTTCCCAGTGTATGATTAAGACATAAGTTTTGGACCCTGGAGTAAATAAAAAACTAACGGTGATATGGTGCCTAGAAAAAGTGGTTAGGAATAGAAAAATAATCTGGAGTTGGAACTGGACAAGTACAAAGGTCCAGTTTTGAAGTACATAATTCTCAGAAAAACAGAATTTGAAGCCAAGAGAAACCCAGCCCCCCAGAATGAAGCACATCATGCAGAGGACAGCCTGTGAATCCTACCCAATTTTTTAATTCTTTCAACAAATATTCATAGAGCATCAATTTTATGCCTGGCATCCTCGTTGCGCTTAAGTATTCCTAAGAATAAAATCATTAACCCAACAAGCTTCCCTTTCCTCTTCCACACCCACCTTATCGATAATGCTGTTAACAATGAGAGGATTTTTCAAAATGTGCTGCCCAACCCCCGTGTTGAACATCAGTCCTGGAAGAAAACACGAAACAGCCTTAATTTTCCAACTAAAATGAGATAGACCGTTCAAGAGAAGAAAGCAGGAAAGGAAGGGGAAAGATTTCCGCGCCAAGGAGGGTCGCCAAACGTCACTCTCGGGGCCGGGACTGACATACTGCTTAAAGCCCATCGCCTCTGCAGGAAGCCAGAGGCGGCGCGCAGGGCCTGAGGCCGGCGCGCCGGGAACGCCGGACTTCCGCGATCGCGGCAGCCTGAGTCCTGACCGGCCTCCGGCTACGGCTCGGCTCTCGGTCCGCGACCCGAGTTTGGTCCCGCGGGAAGACCGGACCCGACCCCAGCTTCCCTCTGCTAGTCCGCACCTCCGGCGTTTTTCAGCTGCCGGCGCTGTTCCTGCCGCTCCTGGCGGCGGCCTTTCGTCCCCGACTTGACCTTCGGCATCTCTGCAGGATGCGGGCCCAAAGGCCCGGGAAGTCAGGAAAGACCAAAGGGGCTAGCCCGAGTCACCAAACCACCAGGGACTCGCCGCCCTGGACCACTCCAGACCACGTGGAGGAGGGGCGAGGGCCCGCCCACTCCCTGTACGCTCCGGCCTCCTCCCCCAGAAAGGGGGCGGACCTTGGAGAGCAGTGGCAGCTGGGAATTGTGGTCACCAGCCGAGAAAGGCTAAACTCGGAGCCTACAGATCCCAGAAGACACCGCCTCCAGATTCTGGCAGTTTGGATTGGCTGGTGTAGAATCGGGGGTGGAGCCTTTCACCCTATCCGCGTGGAGCTAGTTAAGGTGTTGGTGTGATACCCTCGGTTTAGGGAGGAGGTTTAGGTTACATATTGCGATTAAGCTTGTGGACGCTTTAGAAGGGCAGGTTCTGGGCCGAGCCCTTGGCGTGCTCAAGAGAGTGCGGCGCTGGGAGTGCAGCAGCGCTCCCGCCGCGGGTTCGGATCCTATATAGGGATGACCGGTGCACTCACAGCGCTCACTGGCTGAGCGCGGTGCTGCGGGTCTCAAAAAGGACAAAAAAAAAAAGAAGGGCAGGTTCTGGGATCGCTGAAATCGAGAGAAGGGTTCTTCCACGTTTCCCTGAAGATTGTGGGAAGGGAAGCGCAACTGCTTGCGCCGGGGAAAGGAACTGAGAATGGAATTAGCCTCTTGTTCCACTGGGCGACTGGTTGCTTCCCTCCTTTTGTGCCTCATCCTTCATTCCTTAAACATGTATTGAGCTCTAGCTGTGTGTTAGACACTGCTGGGATTTAATGTTAAAAAAAAAACTTTCCCCAAAGTTTATTCCATTGGGAGAGATCGACAAAAAGTCCAAAACGCTGTAAATGTAATAGGTGTGTACTGGGTATTGCGACGGCACAATGTTTCTAACGGTTAGCTCTGTGAGTACAAAGTTAACATCTGTTTTGCCTGCCAGTGTAATGGCTCTCAGCCTTTAAATTTTCTCTGTGTACTCTATTTTGTTGAAAAAAGCTTCTTTCTGTTATTACTAAAGCTGACTTCCCTCGAGCTATTGTGTGCATTCCCAAACCTTGATCTTAGCCCCTTCTTTCTGCTGTAATTCTTTTTTTTTTTTTTTTTTTTTTTTTTTTTTTTTTTTTTTTTTTTTTTTTTTTTTCTTTTTTTTTTTTTTTT